AAAGAAAAAAGAAAAAAAAAGAGGGAGATGAAAGTCAGCTCATTCTGCAACGGTCAGAACTAACACGGAGGAAAACAAAGCAGGCCATCGAGTTCAGTTGGAAACTGTACAGGATTTAGAGCTCGTTATATATGTATATATCTATATACATACATATGGAGATATGTATATATATTTATATATACCTTATGTACAAGGAAATGGAACAGGTACTTTACAAGGAATGGGAAGGAAAGGCGGCTCTTGCGGGCTGGCCAAGCTTCCCCAAGAATCGCTGTTGGCAAAATAAAAAAAATAAAATAAAACGAAATAAAAATAGAAAAAAATTAGGTATACATTAAAAATAAGTTAAAATAAATAAATAAATGGGGGAAGAAAGGAGGAAGGAAAGCGACGGTGCCCAGCAGAGCACCGGCCACCGACACCTGGGGCTCCCCATGGCACTTGGAGGGGGAGGGAAACAACGTCTGAGGGCACCACCAGCACCACCCTTCTCCTCAGTGTGGCCTAAGAGGCAGGGGGTAGGCACCAGACCATCCTGAACTGCCAGAAGGTGGGTTTAGATGGGATTTTGGGAAGGAATTCCTGGCTGTGAGGGTGGGCAGGCCCTGGCACAGGTTGCCCAGAGAAGCTGTGGCTGCCCAGGGATCCCTGGAAGTGTCCAAGGCCAGGTTGGATAAACTTGGAGCAAGCTGGGCTGGTGGGAGGTGTTCCTGCCCGTGGCAGGGGGTGGGATAAGATCATCTTTAAGGTCCTCTCCAACCCAAACCATTCCATGGTTCTGTGATCTAACAAAGGTTGAGCTGCTCCTCCACCTCCAAGACGTTCATTTCTGCCTCCCATCCATCCCTCTGAAATCTTAATCAGCTCCTGCCATGGCCAAGGGCTGGATGGAAGTCATGGGGGCTGCACTCTGAGCTCATCATACCCAGGAACTGCCCAGTCAGGGCTCAGCAAAGCTGGGGACAATATGTGGGCAAAGGTGGAGAGAAGAAGCAGCTGGAGCAGGAGATCCCACCTGGCAGCCAAAGGAGGCCCTGGTGCTTTGGGGCCACGCAGCACCAGCCCTTCCATCACTGGGAGTGCCTGCATTACCCACCCCCAAACGTGGTGCTCCCCATCAGCACTGAAACATTGGGAAAAAAAACCCCCAGGCAGCAGCAAAGTCAAGGATGGGGATCTCTGGGAGCCTTGGAAGGTGACTGAAAGGATGAAGCCGCTGAGAGCTGGAGGATTGGGCCAGGAGAACATCTCTGCTCTAAGAGCCTGGGGACAGACCCTGAGGATGGGGTTGGTTCTGATGTCTCAAATGCTGCTCAAACCAGCTGGCACTTGGCACTTCTGGAAACAGCCCTGTCTCTCCTGTAGCTCACACAGCTAAGCCAAGCCACAGGGTGGACCTTCTCCCTCCTTGGGATCTCCTTTTAGAGGGCTTTGTGGAGAGCTTCTCCCACGTTCTCTCCCTGCTGAAGGGCTGGATATTTTTAAACTGGGAGAAAGAAAAAAACAAACACCCTTACAAAGCCAGAGTCAAAAAAAACAAAGAACAACAACAACCATCACCAAAAAGTAAGATTTGTTGGTTTGGTGGTTTGTGTTGTTTTTCTTTTTTTTTTAATAATTAAGACTTTCAAAAATAAGAAGGCATGATGCAAATAACACTGCTGCCTGAACCACCATGGCTGGACAGAGTGGAAGGGAAGGAGCTGCCCTTCTGAGCTGATTTGTGATAAATGCAGGGCAGCTGTTTTGCCATCCATGCTGTTGGGTGACAGCTCTGCTCGTGGCCTGGCTGACACGCCGCGGTGAGGGGAGAGGGGGACAAAGAGGGTGGGAAAAGGGAAGATTTGGTGCCATTTGTTGGCTGGAGGAGCACTTAGCTCCTTTCAGCTGCCCAAAATCCAGTGGGGAAAAGCACAGACAAGGGGGAATGGGTTTAAACTAAAAGAGAGCAGGTTGGGGAGAGGGTGGGGAGGCCCTGGCACAGGTTGCCCAGAGAATGTGGATGCCACTTCCCTGGGAGTGTTTCAGGCCAGGTTGGAGCACCCTGGGCGAGTGGAAGGTGTCCCTGCCTGTGGCACTGGGTGGAATAAGATCACCTTTAAGGTCCCTTCCAACCCAAACCATTCCATGGTTCTGTGATCTAACCAAGGCAGCAGCACAGCCCTGTGAGCACCTGACACCACAGGGGAACCACACACTCCTCAGTTCACTGTTTCCTTGACTCTTGGCCCATAAAATCCATCAGGTGCCTGTCAGCAGCTGGGAGAGCCCACGGGGGGACGTGTCAAGGGGAGGCTTTCCAGGCCAGGTGAGCAAACCCACAGCAAGCCCTTCAGGATGGACACTGTCCCTTCCACCACAAACCTGCACATCCCTCAGGCCACAGCCCTCTGCCACCCCTGGTGACGAGCAGCACCCATGGCATCACCTCCTTCATCCTTCCAACACCTTCCCCTCACCAAGGAAGTTCTGCCCTGCTCAGAAACTAAACCCAGCAAGCCACAAGGACACCACCACCCCCTTTCTCCAGCGATCCCTCCATCTCAACGTGCTTTGGGGCCCGGTGATTTCACGGTGAGACCTCCCTGTGCCCCCTGGCAGCCAAAACCTCTGGCAAGGGAGGTGTTCTCCCTCCCCCAGAGCTCAGGACCACCACAGGTGAAGGCATTGGTGAAAACTCAGAGAGACTCTGAGGCTTTAGTGCAACGTTTATGGCACAAGTGCGGACACACACAGAGCAGGGAGGGGTTGGAGTGGGGGATGGATGACATTGGTGCTGTGGGATGAAGATGGGGGGGGGTGTTAGCAAGGGAAAGAGTGGGATGTGGAGGAGGCAGAGGGTGAACAGCCACGGAGCATCCTCCTGCATCAATGGGACGAGGGGATGCTCCTCACTCAGGGACCCCAAACCGCCTGTGCTGCTGGAGCAGGGGGCAGTCAGCCCAAAAAAGGGCTCATCCTGCCCTCACTTGGCTCATCCCACTTGGCCTCAGCATCAAAGGCAGAAGGAGGCGATCCTGCCTCATCCCAGCTCCTTGCACAACATCTGAGAGCGAGATGTGACTGCCCATGTCTCAAAAGCATCGGCAGGAGGCTCCTCCAGACCCACCCTCTGCCCCGCTGGGGGCTGGACTCACCGCCCCCGCTCCTGCCCACCTCAGATTTCACCCATCAGCACGTGTGGGAACTTTAGGACATCAGAGCACCTTCGTGCCCGCCCCCACAATTAAAGTGCCGTCTCATCCCAGCTCCAATTAGTTCCTAATCTCCTTTTACTTATGCTGAAGTGGTTCAGACACCAGCAAGGAAGAGCTGGAGGAGCAGCAAACCAACCAGGGCCGGTTAGTTCGCATGGCCTCGTCGTGTCTCCGAATTAAAGCTATCTGAGGCTCCAACTGATGGTTCCTGTCACGCAATTACGCTCAATAAAGGGCCTGGAAATGCAATTTGCCATCATTTGTCCCTCGACAGCTCGTCTGAGGGGCCGGAGGCTCCACCCGAGCTGGTGGGAGAGGGAAATACCAGCACATGGCGCTCAGGTGGCAACACCAGCTCCGAGCTGCTGGCCAAGGAGCATTTCCTCGGGAAGGGCTGGGATCTGGCAGGTGGGGGATGAATATGCAGGGGAAAACGGCGCTGGGATTGTTCAGCCGGGATTGTCCCGCGCGTGGGGCTGGGAGGGGAGAGACGCTCTGTACAACCAGAGCCTGTTGGCATTCCCAGCCCCAGCAACGGAGGGAAGGCCACGGGAGAGGGGAATGGCCCCAACCCCAGCTCTGCTCAGCCGCTCTGCACCCCCAAACCTGGAATTTCGGAGCTGAGTGCGGAGCAGAGGCGGGGAGGGCGAGAGGTGAGGGCTGGCTGATGAGACACACGCCAGGGCAGGCGGGTAAATGAGCAGGAAGGCGGAGATGTGTCCTGCTGGGAGGGAGACCCGCGGGGGGAAACGTAAGTGGACACGGCTGGGAGGTAGAGAAGCCACTTGTGAAAGGTCACGGCTGCCCACGAGGGGCTGGGGGTGGGGAGCAGGGCTCCTCCAGATGCATTTCCCCACGGGGGGTGCAGCTAAAAGCAGCGGCACTCCCCGGCCTGGCAGGCTCCGGTGCTGAGCTCGGGAAATCAGCAACATTCCCCCTTTTTTCAATTAAAAAAAAAAAAAAGAAAAAAAAAAGAAAAAAAAGGCAATAAATAAGGGAAATTAAATTAAATAAACCCACAGAGAACCAAGAGCAAGCCCTCCCCCAACCGAGCATCGTGTGCGCTGGTTGGGGTCAGAGGAGCCCAAAATTGAAGTGGTTAGCCTCGGTGAGAGCCCACGTGCACGAGGAGCCGCCCCCTGTGCCCATCCCACCACAGCCCGGCATTCCGGGGGCTCGGCCGCCGCTCCGGCTCCTCCAGCCCTTGCAGAGGCTTCCCGGGGTGAAACGTGCGGGGGAAGAGTCTCATTCCCGTCTCATTCCCGTCTCTCATTCCCGTCCCGCTGTCGGTCCCCGGCGCCCGCTGCTCGTCCTCGGCACAGGGTGGGACGCGGAGAGGAAGAGGAGAACTGCTGGGGGAGGAAGGCACCGTCCCTCGACTCCTCCCGTCACAGCCTGCGAGGGACACAACGAGCAGAGTCAACAACTTGGGGCTGGCTTCGGCACCTGGGGTTCGTAGGGCAGGTCATGGCAAAAAAAAACCCCAAAACCAAACCAGGTTTGGATGGAGCTGCCCCCTCCCAAAAAAAGTGAGAGGATCAGGTTGGACATCAGGAAGTTCTTCCCAGAGTGATCAGATACTGGAATGGGCTGCCCAGGCAGGGGTGGAGTCACCGTCCCTGGGGGTGTTTAGGGACAGACTGGGTGTGGCATCAGCGCCACGGGCTGGGTGACACCGTGGGGTTGGGTCACAGGTTGGACTCGATGATCTCAGAGGGCTTTTCCAACCTCACTGATTCTGGGATTCTGTGAACTTCTGCCCTCTGCCAGCCCGGGTTGGGTTCTCCTGGTGCATCATCTACAGGGGGTTGTGGCGTTCCACATATCTCACCCCCATCCCTGTGCATCCAGGACCCCTGAGGGGGTTTTGTGCCCCATTCCCTTGGTGCAGGGATGGCAGAGCCCTGGGTGCCACAACCAACCTGGGCGAGCAGGGACCCCACAGGGAAGCCAAGACCAGGATCGACAACCAGAGCTGAGTCCCTGTGGAAGGAATCAGCTCGGGTGGAAAACGAGTGCTGAGCTGAGACATCCTCCCCCTGCCTGTGCTTAGCAAAAGAGGAGGCTGGTAATCAAGAGGGGGCTGGTAATTAAGAGGGAGCTGCAGGGCAGCCACAGCCCATGGCAGGTGATTGCAAAAAGCCTTCCCCAACCCAACAGAGCAATTCCACCACCTGCTGCTTTGGGGGCCATCAACCTTCAGCTTTCCTTGCCTGGCTGCCAGAGCCACCCCGGTGCCTGCTCCGAGCATGGATTGGTAATTAACCTCCCCCCTGATCAATGGCTTGTGTTCAGGGTGATTTGGGGGCCATCTGACTGAGGGCTTTGTGCTGCTCAGCCCCGTGTGGGGACAGGAGGTGGCACAGGGGACACTCCAGCGTGCCCGTAACCTTGGGGCCGCCCGTGTTAGCTGCACAGATAAGGCAGCAAGGAAGGCTCTTATCAGATGCAGCAGGAGAAATGAGCATCTCCAACCTTCAGTGAGGGCCAAGAGGGATGCTTGGAGCATCCTCTCCCTCAGCTCACATCTTTCCCTCCCTCCATCCCCATTTCCAACCTCCACAGTCCGGGGATGCACGTCGGGAGAAAGACACCCCCCCCCCCCCCCGTGAACGCGAGCCCTGCGTGGGTGAGACTTTTGGTTCTGTTTGTCACAATATGACAGATTCGAGGGAGGAAAATGAGCTTCTAAGTGATTGTTCCGCGTTTTTCCTGCTGTTTCCAACAGGGCAGATCCCGAATCCCTGACTGGGGACTCGTTCACGGCGTTCCCTGAAGCGGAGGGATGTGACTAAGCTGAAGTGATGGAACAGAGCAGGACTTGGCCATGCAAAAAGAACAGACCACTCTGGAAGGTCTGAGGAGGGACCTCCGGACAGGGCACCCTCCCAACAGTTAAATCTGGGAACAGGGAAGGACAGGCAAGGACAGGGACTTACTCTGCCGACTTCCAGAAGTGCCCGGGGTGGGAGAGGCGACGGTTGCGCTTTGGCAGTTTCTCCAGCATGTCCATGAGCTTGGTGAAGGTGGGTCTCTCCTCCTGCTCGTAGGCCCAGCAGAAGAGGAGGATGTCCTGCAGCCACACGGGGTGGGTGTGAGAGCAAACCCAGCCAGGGTTTGCTGGTTTGTTCCCAACCATGATCCCCATGCCCAACATCCACACCACAGGGACCCCATCTCCATCACCACATCCCTGTGCAGATTCACGGGACCCACCAGCCGGGACATGCCCCAGCCCCTCTCCACACCCACACACGGTGCTGCAGCGCCTCCCCCACGACACCTACCGAGATCTCCTTGCCCATGCCGATCTGGCTGAGGTTGGGCTTCATCCCTCTTCCCACCTGCCAGATGATTGCCTCCGCCGGCTGCGTCTTGAAGGGCCATTCCCGCGCGTGCAGCTCGTACCAGATGGTGCTGTGGGGAGACGGAGGGAATTAGAGATGGAGGAGCTGGGAGGTATTTTGGGGTCAGGGGTGTCCGGCCATTGCACCCGCACCCACCATCTTTCCCTGCTCCAAAATCCCCAACATCCAGGAGATGCTTCATCTCAGGTATGAGACACCGGAGGTGTCACCTCTCCCATTTTCCATATGGAAAACTCAGGGGTTGACCCGGAGCAAGCCCCAGTTCGCACCAGGGATGATCCCAACCTGAGGGAAGGAGGACAGGGGCTGGTGGAGGTCCGGGCAGAGCCTCCAGCCATCCTGTTCCATCGAGTGGGAATCTCCCACCCTGCTGCTGTAACACTTTGCCCCACTGCCCACAGAGCAGACGTGGGGGATCCAGCTGCTGGGCTGGTGTTCCTGACACCCACTCCAGGGAAGGACGAGCCCAACCATTGAGTTGCACTCCAGATTTTCCCTTTTCCTTCTTCAAAAAGCTCTCCTAGCTGCAAAAACCCGTCCAAGACCTGGCAAGATCCGTCCCAGGTGCCCTCACCGGGTGATGGCACACATGAACCCCGGGCCATCTGCTGCTGCACCACGCCCTCCCTCCCTCCCCCGAGGAATCCCAAATCCAAGGGAATATCCCCAAACAAGGGTGTCTCTAGCTGAGCTGGCAGCCACCCCCACGGTCCTCCTCCCCTGCTTCCACCTGGGAGTTTTTGCATCCTCGTTTTCTGGCATCCAGAGGCTGGATGAGCCCTGGCTCCTGCAGTGCCATCCCTCTTGTCCAAGGCAAATTCCATGGACCTGCTTTTCCCTTCCAGGGATGCCCTCGTGACCAGTTAAAGCAGCAAGAAACGAGGTTAAAATGACATCAGGCTGGAAAAACCTGGCAAGAAGGAGGCTGATAAACGAAAGATCATTCCTTGAGAAGGATAAGCCCCGATTTTGGAAAGCAGCTCTTCTGATATTGGAAAAATACAGCCAGTTTGGCTGTAAATGTCCAAAAAAAAAAATATTGAATGTTGTGGCAGTGACGTCGGTGCTGTGGGTGCAGAGGAGGTGGGGGCTGGAGAGGGGCAGATCCTGCGGGCACAGGACGGGAAGCTCGGGCAGGTGCAGGGATTCCGAAGGTGCCTCCACACACCCACGGTCGGATTTAGCACATCCAACCCATTCATCCAAGTTCCCAGTTGGGAGTTTGGGGGATTAATTTTTCACCTTCCCGCTTCTGGATGCCTTCAAAATATTTGGGCTGTGTGTTCCCGAGGCGCCCCGGGGAGCGGGATGCTGCTCCATCTCTCCCTGCACGAGGAGACCGCGCATCAAAATGTTAATTATTGATGGGATCTCTCACCAGCCTCAGTCCCCTGCTCTGCACCACCCTCACATGCTTTAATTTAACATCTCTGTCTTCTTTAAAAGCTCTTTTCCTCTTGCTGCTGCTGATGCCGCAAATCCCCCGTGGGAAGCAATAACCCCCCCGCCCCGGATCATCCGTGAGCCTCCAGGGCTTTAAATGAGAGCAGCAGAAACAAAAAAAAAAAAAAAAGAGGAAAAACGTGGGAAAACCGTTTAATCTTTTAAGGAAACTCGTGCTTTACGGGCAGAGCTCACACTCGAGGAGAAAAGGAGCAAACCGAGGCTCAGCAACTCCCTCTCGCTCAGTTCCACACGATCCCTTAATTCCTTCTTTATTCTTGTGCCCAAGTTGTACCTCGGGGAGGGGAAAGAAAAAAAAAAAAACCCCAAGCAGACCCTTTTGGCTGTAATTTCTCTGGGTTTGAGGGAAATATCACCTCCTGCAATGGGCCCACGCACCCTAATCCCCCCCAGCCTTTAAGGTATCCGTGAGAAAATTAATCCCCTGGGTAAATCCAAGGGGCTTATCAGGGTGGGATTGGGCTCCTGCCCAAAGGCAGGTCTGTGGGCAGATAAAGGGCAGGAGTAATGAACTGGGGGCTGAGAGAAATTCAGGAATTCTCCTTTTCTTGGCCTTTTGGCCTCTCCTTTTGGCACCACCATCCCCCACCCTGCAGCCGGCCGGTGGGGAAAATCTGGGAGTGCAGCAGCTCCCAGACCTGTGTTCCCAGCTTGGGCATCCCCATCCGATATCCAAGCGCCTTCTTGTGCCCCTGGAAGATGCAGGGGAGAGGTGATGCCAGGCTGGCATCTCCAGGATGTCCAGAGCCACCGTAATCCATAGTCAAATAAGGAGGGTTTGGCATTTAGGGAGAATTGGGGTGTCCAGGGACTCCCAGCCCTGCATCCCCAATCCTCTGCATCCTCAGCTGACATCCAAGCACCTTTTGGTTGGTACCCACACCTGGAGGATGCAGAGGAGAGATGATGCCAGGCTGGCACCCCCAGGATGCTCCAGATCCTGTTGCCCAGAGCCATCCATAGCCAAAACAGGAGGATTTGGTGATTTAGGGAGAATTGGAGCATCCAGGGGCTCCCAGCCCTGCATCCCCAGCCAACATCCAAGCACCCTCTCATCCATACCCACCCCAAGAGATGCAGGGAGGGATGACACCAGACTGATATTCCCAGGATACTTTGGATCCTGTTGCCTGGAGCCACCCCACCCTGCTCCATCACCAAAACAGGATTATTTGGTGATTTAGGGAGAGTCAGGCTGTCTAGGAGCTCCCAGACCTGTGCCCTCCACCCCCTGCAACCACCCCCATCCAACGTCCAAGCACCTTTTTGCTCTGGATCCTGTTGCCCAGAGCTACCCTGGTCCAGAGCCAAAACAGAGGGATTTGGTGATTTAGGAATGGTTGGGGCGTCCAGGGATTTCCCAGAGCTGTGTCCTCCACCCTCTGCATCCTCAGCTGACATCCAGGCACTTTTTTGTTGGCACCCGCCCCAGGAGGATGCCGGGGAGAGATGATGCCAGGCTGGCACTCCCAGGATACTCTGGATCCCATTGTCCAAAGCCACCCTGGTCCACAGCCAAACCAGGAGGATTGGATGGTGTAGGGAGGGTTTCACTCCAAATATCTCGAAGCAGGAAGGTGTTCCCAGCCCAGCCTGGGGGGATTCCCACGGGCAGCGTCCCCTCGGCTTTGGGACAAGGAAACAGTGTCCCCGTCCCCTCCCGGCTGTCAGAGCAGCTCACACCTGACCCAACCCCAGCAGTTCCCTGCAGCCCCCCTGCCCAGCCTCACCCCAGAGCAAAGACATCCGAGTGCTTGGAGAAGGGCAGCTTGTCCTCCTCGGTGTCCGGGGACAGCTGGCGGATGATCTCGGGGGCGAGGTGGCACAACCAGCCGTTCTGGATCCGCAGCTTGTTCTCCCTCCTGCCAAAAAATGGAGATGGGGGTACCACGGGGGGCACAGCGCCACTGCCAAGCAGCCCTCCCACCCTCTCCCCACTGGTTTTCTCTTTGTCATCCTTGCAAAGTCAGGTTTTAACCCTGCTCTGGGAAAATTCGGCACGATGGCTGTGCATTTACCCCTACCAGGGCAAAATTTGGGCAAGGGATGGTGGTGAGGGGGAGCTTTGGAGCTGGCGATGGGGATGTAGGGTCTGACAGGGCTCTTGTTGCACCCAAACACCTTAGGAGACTCAGGGGCAAAGCACTGCTGGGGGTGAATTCACCTGGCACTGACACCCAAGCTGGCCCTGCAGGGTGTTGGACTGGGGACCACCGAACAAACCCATCCTAAACTGGGATGCTCCACACCCACCAAGAAGCCACCCTTGTCCATAGCCAAACCAGGAGAGTTTTGTGATCTTGGGAGAACAGGGGTGTCCTGGGATTCCCAGATCTGTGTCCCCAGTCTTCCGCATCCCCATCCCACATCCAAATACTTCCTCACTGGAACCACCCCAGGAGGATGCAGGGGACAGATGATGCCAGGCTGGCATGCCCAGGATGCTCCAGATCCTGCTGGCTGGAGCCACCCTGATCCACTAACCCAAACAGGAGGATCTGCAGATTTAGGGAGAGTTTCACTCAAAATTAGAACCTCCCCTTAATTGGGGACCACGAGCAAAACCCGCCCTAAAATAATCGCCTGGAAATGGGTGTTTTCAGGTGTTTGGCCCCCAAACAGCCCCATCCTCATGTCCAAGCCTGTGATGCCATCACCCACAGGAGCAGCCTGGCTTTATTGACAGCCCCTCAGCTGTCTTTCCTCTGCCTCCTCGAGCTCCCCCTGCTTGGTACAAACACAGGAGGGTCCTTTGGCCAACAGCTGAGGGTGATGTTGGTTGCTCCTTCATCCTTTATATCCTCCAGGATGCACCACTGGCTTGAAAACAGTCCCTGGGCAGTCAAACAGGCAGGAATTGCTGCTGGTGGTGACACATTAAGCGGCTTGACCATGTGTCTGAGCCCGAATTCAGCAGCAGCAGGTAACAAAAACTGTCCCACGTCATGTTGGGATGGAGAAAGAAGAGCCTCTATCGGGAATTTCTCCCTGTTTGTGCCTTGGAGCCCTCCTAAAAACAGGGATGCACGGGGACAAAGATGACTTGGGGGGGGGGACATCTGTCCTGCTGAATGTCAGCCTGGGGCCAAAATCCCAGAGCAGCAGGGGTCACCACCCAGGCACAGGAGCAGGACAAAAGCTCCCACCACAGCTGCTGATTCCTTGGCTGGCTTTTCCCACACGGTCGGATCCTCGTGTCTCCAAAGGCATCCCCATCCCAAGGCATCCCCTATAAATCCCTCAGTGACCAGAGGAGCAACCCCCTCCTTAGGGAAGGACACTGATGGTCCAGGGAATCACTGATTAGGTCTCCTTTCCTCCTGTGGGGTCTGGAGGGCTCCTCTTCCCCCCACTGTGACGGAGCCATGGCCGCAATCAGCGGCTCCGGCGAGACACGGACCCTCCGGCCCCGGGAGCCACCGGGAAAAGAGCACTTTGGCACAGAGGGGAGGCTTTCAGCTCCCCCCTAACCACCCCCCCACCATCCTCCAGCCCACACAGCTCTTAATTACAAGCCAGCATTAAGCACCTGGGCAATTAGGGAGGATGTGGAGGAGCTCCCTCGCCCTTCCCGGTGTGTGCCATCTCCGCCCCGGGCAGGCAGCGGGGAGCAGGATGGAGTGGGCAGCACTTGGATCTGCTCCACTGCCCTCAGCAAGGCCAGCTCTGCTCCTGGAGCTTTTATTTGTGCTCACTTTTAAGCAGCTCAGGGCTGTGATATCCCACGAGCGGCGTTCAGGCTTGCCTTGGGATGCTCCAGGGACGGGGTTTGGATCCACAGCTCCGTGCGAGCCCGTCATCCCTCCACAGAGCTCCATCTGAGCACTCAGCTGGGGGTTCTGAGCCTCCAGCAACGGGGGCTGAGCTTTAATGTGATCCCAAGGGTGTTCTGATTGCAGGAGTTTCAGGTTTTATGACAAAAAGTTGCCACTGCCATGAGCGGGAGGAGCCCAACCAGCTGAGCACCTTCTGAACCCAGCAAGGCAAAGCGAGACCAGACTCCCCAAAACCCACCTCACGCTCCTCCTAATCGGAGATCAGCCCCTCCCGAGCCCAGGAACGTTTAAACAACGGAGAAATAAATCTGATTTCACCAGGATGAGCCACCAGATCACCAGGTCACTGAAAAAAGTGTTTTAAACCTTTCAACCAGGCAGGTCTGTAGTTCATTCACAGCTGGAATGTCACCACCCTTAACCTGACCTCCAGAGTTTTCTGCCTTCTCCACACACCTTTGTCCAAACCTCCAACGACCCAAAATTGGGCTTCACCACTTTTCTTCTTCTGAGAGAAACCAGAACCAGCAAAAAAAAGCCACCCTGGAAAGGTGATCTGCAGACATTTGCTGCTTCAAAATCCGTGGTGTTTGAAGAGTCTTCTCTCAGCAGAAAACATGTTCCACCCACAGCCATGCTGGGAGCTCCTCAGGGCAGGAATTTTCTCATTCTCTCAGTTTTTCCATCAAAACACTGCTCATTTGCTGTCCAGCCTTGCTTTTTTGCCCATCCTTCCTGCCCTGGAGTAATCCTCCTCAAGTGACACCCCAGGCTCGAGCAGGGATGGCCACGCATTGTCCACCCCGTCCTATACCCCATTCCCCCAGCATTTCACCTCTCATTTCCCCTCCAGAGCATCTGTGACCTTCACAGCAAAGATTCCTGGCAAACCTTGGACATTTTAACCCGAATTCCCTTCCCGCTGCCGGAACGAGCTGTGCCTCCATCCTGGCAGGATCTGAGCCCCAACCCCCCTGCTCAGCTGCTAAACCAGAGGCACAAAACCCCACTCTGGATGGGGTTTCTTGGATTCCCAAAGCTTTTGGCCAAGTCTGTGCCAAACCAGATGATATTTGTGCAGGCAGAAGGGGAGGCCTGGCTGCCCATTCGCCAGGAGCAGGGGGTCATGGAAAGAATCAGCCACCACCTTCTCCTCTAAAATCCTTGGACTAGGGAACTAGGGGAAAAAAATATATGATTTCCAAGGTGGTTTTTATCTCCTGAGCACCATCAAGTGATGACCAGCCTCAACAACCTCTCCAGGGACACCCCATCACGTTGGTTGATGGAGGCTGGAAGGACCAGGAGGTGCTGCCAGAGGAAACCTGCCTGTGCTGCTGCTGACACGAAGGGTTTGGTGACAAAGGTGGGAAAAGTCACCAATGCTCTTATTTTCTATTTTCTTTCCCCCGAGCTTTGCTTTTCCTCCTTCCCCCAGCTGCTGAAACCCTTTGCCCTGCCGTGCCTACAGCTGGAAAACCTCCCAGAGCACTGGGGCAAGGAAATTTCATAAGGAACATTTACCAAATGGTTTGGATTTAAACCCTCGGAGACCCCCAAAATGTCACAGTGCTGCAAATGTCCCAAGCCTGGCTCTCATTTTGTCTGTGTGCTGCTCTGTGCTCGGCACAGACACCATGGCCAGATGTTTGTGCCACCCAAAATGTCACCAGAGCAGCAAAAGGACAGCACGGGGATGGAACCACTTGACCCAGGATGGAGATGAAGCAGATTCCAGGGATTTTTAATGATATGTTAGGGAAAGGCCAAAGGATGAACCTGCCACGGAGAAACACAGCCTGAGGAGCATCCCCAGGATGGCTGCAGGGTGGTTTGGCCATGGAAATGATGCATCCCATGGGAAGAGGTTGGGTCCAAAAGACACAAGGGGCCTCTCTGATGCAGAGGCT